ATGGCAATATAGGAACGGTTTCAATCGGGAGACTATATACTAGTTAAGCTTTAAAGTTAGAGAAATTTCTTTCTACAGAATTCAAAAAATTAAACCGTAGAAATATCCGGTTTCAGTTTTTGATGTTCAGAATAGAATAGAGTTTACTAATCTACATAGATTCTCTCGCCGAGCGATGGGCGTCGTTTAAGTATCCTCCTTCAAATGGGACAATGAAAACGTCTCTAATTGGGTGTCCGTTCTCACTAAAATGTTTACCTATTGAGGTAGTACGAATGATACATATTTGTGATGTGTGGCGATAGAATCATTCTCTCATCGGGATGCTAGTTTGTCCCACATATTCGTCATAGCATTTTCTACATCTAATGTAATAACATAAAATCGCAGCTCAATCGTTGTCTAATCTGGATCTTACCACCAAACCTGGTGATGATTATGCGAATATCGCCACTCAATAAACAGAAACAACAACAGACCGTAAAATCTCGTTGAGCGGGATGCAAACAAATTTCGGGAGGCAATGTACCTAAAGGTCCTAAATGATTCGGATGAACAAGATAGCGGCGCAGGTTTGGAGGACATTTGAATGTAAATATGTACCGAGACCAATCGGTCTTTGGGTTCGAAAATTGTTGGAAAATAGGTTTCATATGAGGCAACTGTCCGTTATATGTTAATGGTATTAGTTTTCTCTTTTGCTTTTTTTCGCCTTCAGTAGTTCCCGTTTTTGATTTCAACAACAATTTCATTCTCTCAAGTTTATCCACCTTTCGGATTTTGGACAAAATATTAGAAAGACAGTGTCCTCTCCGTCGTAAACAATGTACAATATTGGCATATTCGTGCCATTTATCAGTTTCATCGTTACATATCCTTTTAACTTTATGGATTAAAGTTGTAGGTAGATTTTTAATAATCTGTGCAGGGTGACCTGAGCTAGCACGAATATATTGAAAAGTATCTGTTGGCTTCTTGTATAATTTTGTGATAAGTCAGTCTTGTAAAAGATCCTTTTCGACTAGTACATCTAAATAGTTTATTGTACTCGAACTGGTATTTTATATTTTATATTTTATATTTTAAGTTTAAAAGCCCATGTATGAAAACATCTAGAAAGAAAAACCACATTCATGACAAAGAAAAAAACATAATACAGGATTTTGTAGCACTTGAGTAGTTGATTCGAATGATATTCGTTATATTTGAGCAAAACGAATTGAAGAAAAAAATAATGTAAACGATCACACTTCATTGGAGACTCTTTTTTTTCTATAAATGGAAGCTGCCGTTTTACTCTATTAAAATTTCAGTTTTTGCGGTTTAGTCTAGCGAGATGCTTTTTCAGCCTGGTAGAGCACCGTTTTTGGTTGTGTTTTGCGTTTTCTTGTTGTTTTAACTCTCAAAAAACTGCTTTAACAGTTTTGACTCGCAACCTTCCCGTTTTTTTTGTCATTTTAACGTCATCAGAAGGCTAGCTTTGCATTAAGATGTTTGTTTTATCATATTTCAACCTATATCTTGTCTATTTTCCAATACGCGCTTATTAAAAAGTAATTCGTTATCAAGTATGGATATATTTTCCTAGAAAAGCCCTCTGAAATTATTTTCTTACAGTCAACGGACCACAGTCGATCGTTTCGAGCCACGTTTTTCATTATTCATCGGTCTGACTAATATAAATTCATAATGGAAAGAACCCAATAATTTTAATAGCCATCCGTTCAAATACATTTAGTGAATACATATAAAAGTTTTGATAAAGGAAAAAAAGGTGGGTAGCTATGTCTGATTCATGGTAGAGAAACAAAGTAACACTGAGAAGCAACTCGAGGTTGTAAATGGAGAAAACAAATTGGAATATTAATATTAATCAGTGATATGTAAAGATCAATGAAAGATTCGTTATAACGAATCTGTCATTGATCTTTACACATCACTGATTAATGAAAACCAGGTTTTTGGGACCTAGGTATCTTATTACAGAATGATTTATGCATCTTTATGCGTATATGAGTTGATTAGACCTATGTCGATGTTTTTATTTAATTTTGTTTTATGTTTAACATTTTCATTTCAGAATTATTTATATTTAGTTATATATTTTATTTCATTCATACCATTTATAACATCATTAGGAATTTTTGTTTGGCGTTCACCATTATATTTAAAAGAATTACAGAATTATTTAAATCATTTAAAATTAAAAATGTTAAAGACAGAGTGATGAAATGTCAGAAATTGAAAAAATAAGTTACGTTCGTTTTTCTTGATTTTGTGTAATATTAATGTCTTACTCACATATTTACTTTTTAAATGCTTGTATATTGGTTTTTTCTCATTCAAAGCTGGGGTACTTACATTTGATGAATACATATAAAAGCTCTGATGTATTCATTAAATGTATGTGAACATATGCCTATTAGAATTATTGGGTTCTTTCCATTATGAATTTATATTAGTCAGACCGATGAATAACGAACTACATTATAAATTTACAACATTTTCTCACAGTCAAGCTGCATAAAACTGTTTTTACATATTAAAGAGTATTCGAGTTTCTTCGAAGAAAGTCCGAGTTCTTGCCTGCTCATTGACTTATTGATATTTAGGAAAGTGTCATTAGCTAAAAGTTACAGTGCAATTCTTGCTACTAGTGCACTTACTGGTGCCTCAACAGGAGCGGCTATCGTAGCTGGTGCATTCAGTTGCGTCCTATCAGTTGTAGGATCTGTGCCTGGTACTGTTGGAGATGGACTTATTGGTGCTCTTACCGGACTGGCAGCTGGCTCAATTGCTGTAGGGGCTGATGTGATCAAACGCTCGTGGTCAAAAGATAATTTGTTCTCCTCAGGTTATGCTAGTCAGCATAATTGGTCTTCCGTTTATAATGGTGCCATGGACTACCCAACTAATTGGCAGAATTTTGCTCCACAAATAGTTCCTTCCGGTTATGGTGCTAGTGGTGTTTCCACTACTGGTGCAGACTATCCAGGAAGTTGGCAGAACACAAACTATCAAGCACAAAGTTAGTTTCATCAAGCAAGTAGTTAGTTCCTCGAATACCAGTTACAAATTTTTTTGCTGGTGAGGAGGGGGTTGGTAGGCGAAATACATTGTCAACTCATAGACGCATTTTTAATGGTTTAAACATATTTATAAATTTTTTTTGGTTGAAGTGATCAGATTAAGTGAAATAACATCAGATTTCCATTTATTTTAGGAAAACAGCTTTGTCAATAAGAAAGTAACAAACACGTACCTAGAAAATTTACGTAGTATGTTTGTTTGTTCTGTCACTGCAGATCTACAATGGCATAAGCTGACATCTCTAAATCTACTCAGATTCAACACAAAACATTCATTGCCGTAACTTTTTTATGTAAAATTTATCTTTGTTTTAGATATATTATCAGTTTCAAATAAGCGAAACAAACAAGATGCAATACGGACGTCTTCATTTTTCTGCTCCTCCTACTGTTTATCGTGGTGGCAATGGTGGTGGTAATATCGGTGTGGTTCCTTATATGCCTGACTATCCTGGCAGTTTTAATCAACCAGCGAACAGTCCTGTTGGTAATATTCTTCGTGCTAATTTTAGTCAACTTAGCGGTGGAAGTCCTCCATTTGTATATACGCCACCCCGACCAGCTTATCATTTTCTCTCACAATCTAATTCTCCTGACAGTTTTAGTAGTCCATCAAGCGGCTTCAGTGGTATAAGTCCGATTCCTTTTCCTAGTGGTGGTTACTCTTCATATGGTGGTGTACCTTCTCAAGTCTTACCTTTTCTGGGTACACCTACAGCTTCGTCCATTCCTCCTCCCGGTTGGCCCTTTCAACAGTAATTATGATCAATAATGCGGTACAGGTATTGGTTTCTGAGCTGAACAACGTATGAAGTGGGCTTTTAATCACAAAAGAGATAAAAAAACTATTTTTTCAATGTTTTTTTTAATGTCATGGCAACAGCGGAATTTGTTATAGTAGTTCAAGTCTTTCGAAAAAAACAGCGTAAAACCTGTACAGTTTAAATAAAATTTATTGATTTCAATTTTTTTAACCTATCTTCCCTGAAAGGTGTAATTGCATACAGATGAATAAAAATATAACTTTGATAATGAAATTTCATTGCTATTGCTATTCTTCACTTATTCTTTTTGTGCATATATTTCGTACAGTCCATCATGTTGTCATCATCTTTAGCAACAACAAAGAAAGAAGGTAAAAAGGGTCGAGTTAAAATTCTGAAACAGATTTTGTGATTGAGTTTTTTAACGCTGATCCCGAACATGGCATTTTTTATATATGAAAAGCACGGTGAAGCCCAGCAGTCTTGAACATGCTTAACTACTGAGTTATGGGCGATTTTAAATTTTTAATCTAAATTTTGAGAATTCTATTAAATTGCATCTTAGATTAGTCAAAAATAACCAAAGAACTCTTTCTCACGGTCTAAAACGATAATTTTCCGTTGCTAGGTTGTTGCTACGCGGGTGTAAAGAAAATGTACGCCCAAGCTTTATCCCTTTTTTCTGAGAAAACATGGAACCAGATGCTTGCCTGTACAGGGAAGATGCAAGAATCTTGGCTGTGGGAGCACAAGCTTCTCGACTAGTGTACTTCTTACAGTGAAAAAATCATCTTACTTATCTTGATGCGAAATGAAAAAAAAAATTTTGCAAAGTAAACGCAAAAGAAAAGCTATTTGTATCACATTTCCGATTATTCAGTGTAGTTGCGCGTATTTAGAAGTAGTCTATACTGCAGATATCGACCAATTACAATGAATAAAAATAGCATATATGTTGTAGGAAAACTTAAAGTTCAGTCAAATTTAAAATCTGCCTAGGCAAAATTAAAATTCTAATTTTGACTAATCTCCCCCCCACCCCATAACAGAAGCCCTCCCATATTAGATGCCCCCCTTACTAGAAGCCTCCCTTTATTAGAAACCCCCCTTGGAGAGGTCTCTCCAGAATTTTCTGTTTTCCCCAGCGGAACACGATCAAAGTTCTGAAGACGAAATACAAGCGCCCGGGGGCTTCTATTATGGGGGGGGAGGGGGGGAGACAGATTTTAAATTTGACTGAATTTCTAGTTTGCCTACAACATATATATACGAACAACTTTTTTCTTATGATCGCTCCATGTAAAATGCTTTTTCTTGATTTCGTTTTTCCTTATTGCAGTATTAAGATTCAATTCATTCTTTCTTTTCTTTACTTCCAAATGCTTGTAAACGTCTATTTGCTTATAACTTCATCGTTCCCTGCACGTCGTCTCACGTTCTTTAAGTCACGCGACCAAAGGCCCATAAGGCACGTGATGTAAGGTCCATAAGTCACGTGACCGAGTTGCTTGGGTGCATTAGACCACGTGACCTAAGGTTCCTGAGTCACGTGGCCTAAGCTCCACTATGCGTGGTTTAGGAACCTTAGGTCACGTGGTGTAAGGCCCTTAAGTCACGTGACCTAAGTTCTCTATGTGATCAGCATTTGACTTGTACCATCCCTATTATTTTCAAAAATATTCTTTCAAGATATTGAGGGAACACCTTAAAACGTACTACTATCAGCTGATATTTTTAAAATACATATTGTTATCCGTTTTAAATGCAGAGAGCTCTTTGGACTAATACTGATTAGCTCCAAGGACTCTTCATCAAAGGAGAAAAATGAGACATTCACGTATAAGATCTTTCTACGTTATGTTGTGTCAATAACCGTAACATCAGCAGTGTCAGATATTTCTTTCGTTCTGCAGCGAAGAAATGAGTTTCGATTCGAAGGCATCATGTTTTCAATGCTCCTTATGTCGACTCGCAGCCAACTAACTACCAATATATAGTAGACGTTCACTCTGTCATTACGCAAAAAATGTAACAATTCAATTATACATCCCTATGAAAAAAATGTGTGCAGTAGAACTTGCGAAAACACCTGACATTTCACTCCAGGAACATCGAGACTAGGGATCCGAGATCCAAAACACGAAAATCAGAAAATAAAAGTTCAAAATTAGAAGTGTGCGAGAAAAATAAATAGAAAGTCAGAAAATCAGTAGAACTTAGGGCAAAAAAGAGCAGAAACGAGGCTGAAAAGTTCAAAAAATCAGAAGATCTGGGGTCCCTGATTGAGATAGACCTTAGACGACCAGCGCAGGAATCAGCCGATACCCTTGCAACCCTTTTTTA